CGGCAGCTCTTGTGGCGGTATTAAAGGCTATGGCTCTAAAACGCCAACGCAGGTGGACGGCAAAGCGTCTTCGCGTTTACCTTTTTTTCTGCTACGATATTCTCGTCCCCTTTCGAAATTTCTTTTACCCGTTTTTTCTTTTTTCTTTCTGCCCAAGATCCTCCTCCAACCGTTTCTTGCGTTTCCGACTTCTTCGCCTTTCTGCGGCACTTAAGGAGCTATACCACTGTGAACGTCGAAAAAATTACACATTTTTGAGGCAAAAGTATGAGTTAAAATTAAAATTTTACCGTGATTGAGGTACGGGCGGTGGACATGTGTTTGCTGAATATAGTGCGAATATTTGAACACGATCGGCTCAATCGTTTTGAGAAATCACCTGCGTCAGGTGCAATCTTTTTTTTACTACTCTACGTTTGTAATAATAAATAAATATGTACTTTTTACTAAAAATAAAAATTTTCCTGTATTCTCCTATATTAGACTTTTCACGGGAAAAAAGTATGTGCCATTATATGCAGTACTTTTTGAAAAAGAAATGGTCAAAAATGTGTAATTTCTTCGACGTTCACAGTGGTATAGCCTCTTAATTTGGCCATTTTGAGAAAGTGATGCCGTCAATTACTATTTCTCATTTAAAAAAGGTTTTATTTTTTTTTTTAATTTTCTTATACCATTGCTCTATATGAGTGTTTTAATAAAGACATTCGTTTTTAATTCTCGAATAGGAACATTAAGAGATATAGATTATTTTCTATAGGGACGACATGTAAAGTCGTACCAAGTTTTAAGGAGGCGAAATGTTATTAGCTATCGAAATTCATCTAATTAAATTTCTTTTTACCGCGAGCCCATACCTTTTTTCTTTTAATTCGTCGCTCGTTTACTTTCTTGCTGTAATTAGTGTAGGAATTATCGGGGATCACGTGCGTGACGCATTTTCGTGCCTCCGTTTAACGTGGGAGTCTCGTAATCCTTTGACGAAGATGTATTCGACCGCAAAAACGATGGTCAGAAAAATGGACGCGTATATCGGTAGCGTGAGTAGACGTTTTCGGCAAGAACCTTTGAATCGCGGAGACTAATCTTGTTATGCAGAGGTGGACGTATGTAGAACTCGTACGTGAGCATCATTCCCACTCGTATCACGATCAGGGACTCGTGACATTGTTTTGCATAATACCGACTGCATTATCTTCCGTAGTCCTGACCTCCGCAGTAAAAATCGAGGTGACTTAGGGGCAAATTCGACCGAAAATTCTGTGACATAAGACCCGACCGATTTATTCATTTACGTTTACGCTTGGATTTCTCTGTCGAGGAACGAACCTCGTTTTATCGTGTCGTTATATCGACGACTTACAAACGACACACACCTACGCGTATTATCAATTTCATAAACTCCGTTGACAGTGCTAAGTGAATAAAGACGCCACACTATTCAAAAAAAAATATATTTTAATTTTATAACATCTTTTTTTGAAGTTTTGTTTAGACATGGTGTACTAATTTTATAACAAATTTTCGAATAAAATGTACAACATATATTATAAATGTGGTAAATATGTGTAATAAATTTATAACATATGTTGTAGATTTGTGTTGATCGGTACTTGACTTTAAACGTTTCTTCTGCAGACAAACAAATTTGACAGGATGCTCCGGGCATGTTCGAGTACGTTTTTAGAGAAGCCTTAAATGACGAAAAAATCTTTTTGCAATTGTCGAGCAATTCTATTGAATGTTAGAATTATTTTTAAACATCATTTAAACATTTCTCGGACTCAAGAATGTCGCTACAATGCTTCTCCGCTAGTGCGACCGATATTTGTCGTCTCTCGATTAAATTTCTTTGAAAGTAAACTTATGTAAACGATCGTGAAATTAAAAACTCATCTAAAACATTTACAAACAATACGTATTAAATGGACTTTCGAATATCAAATTTATAATTTTTCTACGCAATTTCACAAGATCACAACGTGATGTTATAACATTATAAATTCATTTAGCATTTTACAGTAAATGTATACTAATTCACTGTTAAGACATCACATTTACAATGTTACTGCAACCTTATGTACTCAAAGTGTATGAATTTTATGAATTTTTTTAACAGTGCATCCTACCCACCATTATTTAAGGGAAATTTAAGAAAAATCGGTGAGGGGAATTCTGCCCGCCTTGTCGGCAGTGCCACGTACTTATGAATGGCCGATACATAAATTGCACTTAAAACCGTGCAATTCAGGAGTATTACAAGTGACGAAGCAAGGCGTGGGTAGGAAGTTATCGGAATCGATTTTACCGATCGAAGAGCCACGCATTTGCGAGACGATGACGAATGAACGTTACTCGGCAACGTCCGGAAATTACTGGGTAAAAATCTTTATGGTACTCGTTGACAAGTGCTGTCGGCGCATAAAGTAGTCGTTGTACTTTTAGTTACCGCCGGCACGAATTTAGAATCAATTTTCCGGGGATAATGCGAGTCCCCCTTGGAAGCAAGATTGCATTGACATGTAGGAAGACTCATTTAATCGTGGCATTATTTAGTAATAGACACAAAACACGTGTGCACGGAGGATTAATTGGGACTGGAATGTTTCTTTCCTACGTACAGCACTCATTAGTCTAAGCATTGTCATACGTAATGAACGAGTGAAGATCACGTCACCCCAGGTCATCCGATGACTTAAACTCGTCATTAAAACCTCGAGCTGTCATAGTCATTATTTCTGAATCGGATCGACCAAAATTCTATTACAATCGATTGCGATTGACGACAAGGACAAAGCTCGATTTCTCCGAGTCGACAATTTTTCGATCTCGTGAACGCACTTACGGTCGTATGGAAGGGTCATTCTATACATATAAAACGTCAAAATATTTATAAAACTTTTCTCCAAATCATTTGAAACTTCATAATGCTAGTTTTCCGTGAGTTCCGGGTTCGATACGGTAATTGCAAAAAGATTTTTTTCGGCGTTTAAGGTAGGGCTGCCTCTAAAATCGTTCTCGAACGTGCCCGGAACATGTGTCAAATTTGTTTGTTTGCAGACAAAAACGTTTAATATCAATTACTGATCAACATAAATTTATTACAGGTGTACTAAATTTATAATATATGTTATACATTTTATTTGAAAATATATTCTAAAGTTATAATACCACGTCTGAATAAAACATCGAAGAAAAATGTTATAAAACTGATATTTTTTTTAACATGGGGGAAAAGCGGATTTTCTTTTCGAAACGCGTGTTTCCCATAGCGTGCCGAGGGATCGTCAATTTCCTCCGGAGCGAACCGGCACGAGTCGAGGCTCTAACTCGAGATGACATCAAAGAATGGTCGTCCTGTCCAGCCTCCGAGCACCCCGAGCCGCACCTCGTTGCACTCGCAATCAGTGTCGAAACGCGGCGTGTCGCCTCGGGCTGCCGTCGAGGTCTCAAACCCGCGGAAAAATAATGGGCCTTCTTGGGCCGGGGCCGTTTAAGCGATCGAAATGTCTGCACAAAGCATTGGCACCTCTCGGGATCGCGCTTACGGTGCAAGAGGCGCGCACTTGCGACGCGACGCGACGCGTCGCGACGCGCAAGGGAATGACGTACAACGCAGGACACGCGAACGCGGGTCTTCTCGCATACGTAACGAGTGGTGAGGCTCGTTGAGGCGTAATTTCTCGAGAGGAATGTAAGGGCCCCCTGCACCACCCGGCCGTTTATCGCGCCAAAGTGGACCGTATCGACGCTTCGTTACGTCGATCAATTAGCACTATCTACGCCCGACTCGACCGATAGAGCCGAGGATCTCGCGGCGCCCCTTGTTGCCGCGGTCGATCCTCGTCACCGGGTCCTCGATATCTCGATACGAGTTCGGCTGGATTGGCTGGCTTCGAGATATCGACCTCTCTCCTTTTTCGCCGTCTGACCATTTCCCCGGGAGATTCGTGCCAAGAGTTGCTGCACTTCCAGGGGACTTATCGAGGCGCCGCTATCTCCTCGAGCGGCGTGTAATAAATGTATTATAAACCTAATAAAACTATGTAATAAGCGCGTAATGGACTTTGGCGATTGGAAAACGATAATTGGATATACGCCCGGTGTGTCCCAATTTTGGCGACGTTAGGTGGGGATCTTTAATGTTTCCTTTTTTCTGAAATTTTCCGAGGATCGGACGAGCCGCAGATTATCCTAGTAATTGTAAATCGATCCTCCGGTGTACCGACTTTGCGTTCTCTTGCTATTACCAGACTTGCCCTGAATCGCGAATCTCCATGCAATTATTTATACATGCAATTGTATTTTCAAGTCTGCACCGAATCGATAGGAATACTCGGTTTATTTTTCCTATCGCTGGCAGTGAACTGCATTGCCGAGGGCACGGTATTTTAATACGAGTTGGGGTACGTGAAATACTTTTCTCTCCAGACTCAAGATCGTCAAAGAGCACGATATCTTCGGTCATTGCAGGAAGGTGCAATTAATTGCAATTGGAAATGAAAAGGACGACGGTAGAGTCTCGTAACCTGAAAACCTTCTCCCGTGTAAAAATATTCCTGTCGAAATGTGCATATAAAGAATATATTATTTAATTCTTTGATGATATAATTTCACCCGATTTCTGTGTACGAGGCAAACCCGAGTAGAAAATTTCCGCGACCTTTATCAGCTAAGATTATGAATAGCGATCGGATTATGAGATAATTTAACGCCAGGAACTTGACGAAATGATTTAAAACAGCGCCTGTCAGGTTGACATTTCCTTCTGCTTCGCTTCTGACGTTAACTTGCTTACTAGGAGTTCCTTAACACATTGATAACACGCGTGGGAGGGATTACCCTCTTGCATAAAAACCCGCCCGTTTACGATGTGTTAAAAGACTCCGAAAGGATGAGGCATTAACTCGTCCTATGCAAAGTTGTAATTTCATGTACTATACATTTACCCGGTTGGCTTGCATCGATATACAATACAACCTTTGTATTTTCTGTTACAGCGCGTCTAACATTCCATCCAGAGCTTTGAAGGAACTTCCCCTGGTCCACAAAGTAGTGCAACAATGGGTCGAAAGAAGATTCAGATTTCTCGCATTACGGACGAACGGAATCGTCAGGTAGATGTCAATACGTAGATCATTAATCAGCGCGTATTAACTAACCCTTCATTGCCATCCTAATCGGTCCTAGAATCAAAGTACAGGTGCAGAGGTAAAAAAATAATCAAGAATACCGTCTCTTAATGTCTCCATCGATTACTTAGCGTACGCGATCGGGCAGGATCGTCATTTTCAAGATATCGGTACTCATTGTTGCGCTCTGTTGTATTCCAGGTGACATTCAATAAGAGGAAATTCGGGGTGATGAAAAAGGCTTACGAGTTGTCCGTTTTGTGCGACTGCGAGATCGCGTTGATTATCTTCAGCTCGAGCAACAAGCTGTATCAGTACGCCAGTACCGACATGGACAAGGTTCTCTTGAAGTACACCGAGTACAATGAACCCCATGAGTCCCTCACCAACAAGAACATTATTGAGGTGAGTCCATTTATCCGTTACACCGCCGGAACGGAAAGGATCTTCGGAATACACTTTGTACCCACGTCAGGCGGTCCCATTAAACAAATCTTTTTCAACGACTCCGTGATTGGACCCTTTATGTCCTACCTATTATCCGGTTTATTAATATCGAGAGGTCTTTCTTACGTTTTGCTTTTACCCCGGGTTCTAATAAGATTTTCTACGTCTCGTTGGATTAAAGCATTCCCCGTTCACCTTGAATTCATTAACTTTCTTAGATTCATTGCTTCGCGTCTTTGGTCTACTTGAATTTGAGGAAACCTGTATAGGTACTCTTCGTACTGTATCGGTCACGTGTCGGAATGTAAGAAACCGTTTGTCTCCTGTACAGAGAGGGATTAAAAGTAGTTACGTGGAAAGAGTTTATACACCTTCCTAGCATCCCCGTCGCGGCTTCGCTTGCGATATGTCCAAGTAGAATTCGGGATTCGTAATCTTTCTTTTTTATCCCTTTCCACCCCTTTAGGAATTGCTTGAGGCAGAATCCTCAAATTGGTTTTTAGGCAGTTCTCTGTGTACTCCTTTTAAGTGAAAAACAAGTCGATATCTCGGTAGGCTTTGAAGATATTAAGAAATTCGTAAAAACACATTTTACCCTTTTCACTCTCTTAGAGATTGAATGTAGAAAAAATCCATCTTAGTAAGCACCTATATTAAAAAAGTGATATATCCCCCAAATCTCACATTTTTAGGCTCACCAGTTTGGGCTGGATGACGATGAGTCAGTCATTCGGTCAGTCAGGGACCTGTTTTATATATGTAGATTAAAACCACTCATTGTAGATGCGGGGGCCGTTTTTCATATATTCCGTAGATACTTCTAAGTAGGTTCAAATTAAGCAACAGTTTCTTAAAATAAGCTCGGGCATTGAATATCCCATCGTTTACAAGGTGGCGGTCCATCCAATGAATTTTCCCAAACAATTATACTATATGTGCCCTGAAACAATACCTTATACCACAAAACTACCGCATTATCCTACATTCGGAAAGTTGACCAACACTCTACCGCCTCGATCTTTCACTTCAAGGTCTCCTATGAACAATTAGTCTAACTACGTAGTCTCTATTTTCGCAAAGACTTTTACATACTTTAATTAGCTCCGTACCGCGAGGGGAAAATTAAGTGGTATTTTTAAACGAACCCGATCCTAGAGGGGCCCAGACGAATACCTGGACTTATTACTTTAGCCGCGATCCACTCAGGAGTTGGTCCTGCAGAGGGTGGAATACCGCCGGGAAATGCGGATATCTGATTAACAGTAGCGATAAGAGCCGCGGGCGTTGGTGTTAAATTAACGTGCATGTGAAGGTTGAGTGCCCTCGGGCGGTGTGGTCACGTGAACCTGTCTGCTGACACTTGCAGGCGCTCAACAAGAAGGAGCATAAGGGTGCCATGTCCCCGGAGAGCCCGGAGCCCGACGCGAACGAGTACAATCTCACCCCGCGCACCGAGGCCAAGTACACCAAGATCGACGAGGAGTTCCAGATGATGATGCAGAGGAACCAGCACAATGGCACTAGGGTGTGTACCTCGGCTAGGCCACTCTCGCGGTTGCTTTCCAATTTCGACTCGGTTTCGTGAGGGCCCGGGGTTCCATTGAGCGCGACAAGTCGAGGAGGGACCAACGAGTGCAAGACCAAGACCGTCATGATCTTGCGTACTTGAGTCTTGTTCTTGGTCTTGCATCGTTTGTAAGACTGCGAGACAGATTTTTCTCATCACTGGAGGATAAAAAACCAATCGGAATCGTGGTGGAAGGTATACTTAGGTCGGAGTGCCATGGAGCGTGTTGGGTGTCACACGGAACGCGGCGCGTCAATAAATGTCGAAGATGAACGTTCAATCGGAACTGCGCTTAAGGGGTTATATGTAATTGTCATAGGCGAAATTCAAGAATTTTTTTATAACTAAAGTGCTACTATATACTACTCATAACTAAAGTAACATTTTTAATCGATAACAAAGCGTGACTTCACAGTACAATTATTGAACTTAATATATAATTTCTTTTTGTCAAGATATAATGAAAAATTGGCGAGGTACAGCAATTCTCTGAAAATGATTTTTTTTTCTTTTTTTGTGGTGATCACGATATCTTAAAAAGTATTTCACCTGTCGGCTTGTAAAAACTTGTTTTATTAAGGAAGAACGAAAATGTTATAAGTCGAAAAAAGTGATTTTTCAGTAAAACCACTGTCATGTTGGTAAAAATCGGGAAAATCCTTCGTTCAAGCAGTAACAACTGCAGATAACCCTTTAACGTCGGTGCAACACAGTTCTAATTGGATTTTCATCCACGACGCGTTGACGCGTCGCTCTCTGTGTGACCCACGACGCGCTCAACGGAACTCCGTCATAACTCGCCTTTCTGCAGACTTCGATCGGTACTTATGATAAGGCATTATTATTCGTACGGGCACTACGATCGGTAGGAGCATTGGCTTGGTATCTTTTATTTTTTATACGTTTTTTCCTTATGCTTCGGCTAAGTGGAAAATTTCGAGGAAGCGCAGTGTTTTACACCTCAGGGAAACCGGGATCCTCTCAGCTGTTTAAACACCTCGAATTCGCGACATCTTGAAAGTTAAATGAGTTAGATAAGGGTGTGTTTGAACGCCCAAGTCTTTGGTAACCTTTGACTCAATCTCGGGGAAAGGTAATTTACCTGTAAGTGGTCACCGTAATTTTTCTTTGCGGGGTGGCGGAATGTTAGAGAGAGGGAAAGTTGTGGATGTGTTTGTGTCATTTTTTGTTCGGTTAATTATGTAGGTTTTTGTCGAATTACTTTCTTGATTTGCAGATTGGGTAGTGTGTTTGGAACACTACGTTTCTTAGTTTTGTTCAAATGGAAGTTTCTAAGTATATAGTGTACCTTTGACTTAAAGAATGTCCTTCGAAAGTACAAATTTAACGTGTCTATCTTAATAGTTTAAAGTTATATCAGGAGAATATTTAACAGTAGTACAAATTTCAATTATTATCACGAGAAATGGCCTATATATTAGCAGTTAATTGTTTTATATATCTCGTCAGTTTAGATAACGGTTACCGTTATCGCTCTTATCATATAAATGTACCACAGCTTCGACTATCCGAATAATCGGACGGGCTCAATACATGCAATTATGCGATATCGATTTTATCCCCCGGCACGTCGAAATTGGGAAAACGAGAAGCATTCGTCACACCGATACGTTATTCGGTAAAGTACCGATGACATTTATTTAATCTCTTATTTTTCCAAATGAATTTCATTATATATTTTCAAAAGGCTTTCCCAGGGATTAATGTGTCAGTGATACGATTCAGCGGAATAGGACTTATTTGACTTAAAATTTCAAGTTTGAAATACCAATTAAAATATATTCCTTGGTTGCGATTGGAGAACTCATCGAAGTACATACTTGAATATATGGATGTTAATGTTTGCGGTTTCATATGTACAGGGAATGGGACAGTCTAATTACACGCTGCCCGTGTCCGTGCCAGTAAACAGCTACGGGGAATCTCTTTTGGGATCTAGTCCGCAAATGGCACACACCAGTATCTCTCCACGACCGTCGTCCTCTGAAACAGACTCAGGTAAGGAAAAGGAAAAATCTGCGGAAAAAGGAGAAACTAGGAAATTTGCGCGCATGTAAATTTTCGAACGAGAGATTTCTCACATTTCCGAGGAAATGATACACATGTGATTTCTTTCGATACGCAGTGTACCTGTTACAGTGAATGACCGAAATTGGAGAATGTCGACTTTCACCGGTCAACAGATACCAAATACGTCGGTGAAAGATCGAATATTTCATTACATTGTTGTACATTCGGACCCTCTCCAGTGTGTGTCGACAATCACACACCGGTGAATGTCAACATTTACCGGTGTAAGTCAGAAATAAGGGTATTTAGCAAATATTTCGGACATACACTAAGCGACTATGTGAATGTTGACATTCACCGGTGAAAGTCGGCATTCTCCAGATTTCGGTGTTTCACCGTAACATACCCCCCTGGAGGGATGTTGGAAATGAGTTTGCGCGAAATTTGAAATTTGCGCGCGCGTAAATTTTCGAGCGAGAGATTTCTTACGTTTCCGACGAAATGACACTCATGTGATTTCTTTCGATACGCAGTGTACCCACCTGGAGGGATGTTGGAGATGAGTAACGGGTATCCACCGTCGGCGTCACCGCTGGGTGGATCACCGAGTCCTGGGCCATCCCCAGCCCTTGGAGTAGGTGGCGGTGGTGGAAACAAAGGTGGAAATCCTTCCAGACATTCGCCTCAACCGCCGCCACCGCCTCACCCTCACCGAGCAAATTTACGAGTAGTTATACCAACACCTCTCACACAGCCACTCTCAGAAGATAACTACGATGTAAGCCTGGTAGTCAAAATGTACTTTTCATTGCTTAAAAACTTATATTCGGTTATAACGTGTGGAATATGGTGCTTTACAGAGCGGGCACTCGCAGACAACGTTGAATACACCTGTAGTGGCGTTACAAACACCATCGGTCCCAGCTGGGTATTCTAGCTTTGGTCCTACGGATTATTCCTCAGACCTTGGCAGTCTCGCATGGTCTCACCAGAGGTACGTTGATGACTTATCAATGTATTCGGCAGCCACCATGTCCAGCATCAGGTAAATCATACTTCATAATTACCGGCATAAACGAGAACTACGTGTCCAGTTTTGTTTTCCTAGACGTAACAGTTGAATGGTTGTGTTTTTTAACTCCCACCCGCGTTAAGGTAAACTATGATTTGCAGTTGCCTATCAGTGATTGAAGTTCTATCATCGAATTCGACTGATTTTTTATTAAAATTTAGTAAGAGATTAATGTTGGAAATTTTCTAGATTGATTTTTTTTTATATTTACTGAACAGGAGATTTTTTTTTTGTAACGTCATTTTAAGTCGCGTTTAGTCATTCGTTCTTTAAGGAAATAACTCCTGTTTAAAATTACGCTTCCAAGGGTGAAATATCATTATGGCGGTTACTCTGCAATTTACGGAAATTAGTGATATATTACGCAATGCCATTCATGTCATTTCTCCCACGCCCTTCTCTCTACCTTCCCGACAAAGTGCTTCGTAATGAGCCAGTTGATTCAAGAGAAAGTAACTCGTTTGATACTTGGTTACGTTAAGTATAAATCCAACATTAAGATGGCTTTTACGTGCGGGAAAATAATTATTTGGTTCTGGGAAACGCATGGCGTACTTGCAAAACTGACTAACACCGATTAATGCTACCTAATATATCCAAATATTTGACATCAAATGATCCATCTTAACTCCCGGAGAGAACACCAAAGTATAAACAAAGTTCACGATATGAAACGAGAGTCAAGCGGCGCTTGATCCAATTGTGACGATAACAATTCATTGAGTGACGTCGTGATGTCACAGCGGGTCGCGCTAAAAAAATGCGTGTAAATATTGTCAAACTCTCTTCGCATATTGGTGATGCATGTCTACTCGTTGCTAACAGTAATTACCGGGGGAACCCTCGGCGTAAAGTCGGTAATATCGGCAAGGGAAATAAAGAGTATATGAAAGTATATGAGAGTCAGCCTATATATATCTGAGAAGTCAAATTGTTGGGGAAAGTATTCCTCGAATTGGGTGTACCGATTCGTTTCAAATTTGAACACGGGAATATGGGGGCTCTGAAGTAGGTCATGAAACTCATGAAATTTCATTTTTCATCCAAAATTTATTTACTTATCGACTAGAACCAATATGGTGTGGTCCGGGCACGCTTTTAATGTTTTACGCTTCTTGGAGGCGTAGAATCGATAATGAAGAGTTTCAGAACCTAGCCCGAACAATTTATAGTACCGTAAATATGGAATATTACAGAATCAGATGGGACAATGTGGTAAATACTTTCACCAACGATTGCAAGAGAATGCTGGTTTGTCCTGCGGCTAACGCGTGTTTTTAGAGAAAAAAATTTAGTTGCAGCTAAACGTCACAGATGGCGACGTTGATTGGTTAAAATATAAGCAGTCATGAATTCATGGGATTTCGGCAGTTTTACATAGATCTTTTTATCATTACTTTACCGAAGTGACATGTGGAACCCTTAAGTTCGTATAATTCTCAACGTAGACCGTAAAAGACTTCAACATAAATATAAATGTCGGTAATGGGACATCATATCAGAGCCTTCAATAATTGTATATTGATCTAAACATGAAAGCTCGACGCCATTTCGGTTCTGGTCTGGGCTAAGATAAAAAATGTATATAGATAAATTTTACTTAATCGACGTCGATTAAATTTTTTAGCGCCTTTCATATCCCCCTAACGTTTTCTTTGGTTTCAGTGGTCTTCCACATTTAGCCGTCTCGAGCAGTACACCTCCACCGTCTACGTCGCCTCTGCCTGTGAAGATAAAGAGCGAACCGATAAGCCCGCCGAGGGACACCCACGGAGGTGGAGGCGGATCCAACGGGGCTCCAGGAAATTCAAACAACTTGCACCATACAAATCTCAACGTGGGCCCCTCGTCCAGCAACGGAGCACCGCCACATCACGTAACTCACGGCGGTCCTCAAACGTTGAATCTAGTATCTAGCAGGCCGAACAGCAACCCGCCACCTTCCCACTCGGGGAGCATAACGCCGACGAATCTGCCGTCCCCGGGAGGTGGACCCGTCGGAGATATCAGAACGACTCACGGCGGGGCAGGCGGTAACGGTGGAAGTAGCTCCGACTACGAGAACGGGCCACTGATGAAGCGCTCTAGAATTACAGAAGGATGGGCAACTTAATATCGACCAAACGATCGTACCCGGTCGTTTAATACCTCGTCGTACAACGGCATATAGTGCTTTTGACTCCGAGTACATTGTAAAACCACTTTAACGACGTCGAGACACGTACGCGTACTTCGCCAAAGTCTACGGCTCCGGGCGAACGGCTCGTGCCAGGCAAGTGGAAAATCTGTTTATATTTTGAAACTGACACAGAGAACGTTTATCCGAAGAATAAAATGCGGTGCCATAATGTTGAAACTTTATATATATATATATATATATATACGATGGATATATATTTTCATGTATATAATAAGAGGTGTTGTTTGTATATATGTCATAAATTCGTAATGGTTTTGTGGTACGGCATGGTGTCGTTAACGTGGCCATTTCGTTGGAGATTCCTAAGGGATCTCCGCAATGTGGAACGCAACGATTACCGATCGTAGCGCCTCAAGAAGCGTATCGGTAGACTAAAGAGCTTGCGAAGGGATCTGCACAAAGCGCGAGGTATGCAAAGACCAGACTCCATCGTCACAGTTTGTTGTTGTTGTGCGCGGTATAGCAGTCCTTGCACGGCATAACCCGTTAATCTACATCTCATCTGAAACGCATTAAGCATCGGTGTATAAATACAATTGATCTAGTCATACGAAAAAAAATTACTATTAACCGAACCGACGCCCACGGCCGATCGAGTATCGACCGGCGGACCGAATGTACTAAGTCATTGCTTTCGAAATCTTGACCCGATTCTCTTTTAACTCATTTTACGAACCGAGTTAAAGAAACGGCGAGAATCGGACCGATAATTCTTCCTAAACCCGAGTGACGAGGTGACTTACATTTACCTGGTACCTTCTTACCGACCATCATGAGTTTTAACCTGCACCAATTAAATCCGAATGAGCTGCATTAACGGTCTATGTCCGCTGGCATGCGAAAGTCGACTGCTATACTTAAAATATACACGATATTCTATGTGAACAAGATTCGAAATTAATATATTGAATTATGAAATATTATTAGATAGGTAGATAGGAAGATATTATATAGTGTTGATTAATAAAGAAAAATATATACACTCGCGCATATGTATGTGTACATATATGCATATATGTATGCATGTATATATATAAACATACATTTTCCACAAGTATTTTGCACATTTGATAAAGAAGGGAAAAAAAAAACAAGTGTAAAAGAACAGAGGTTAGAACCTTGCAATTTTTAAAGCCTAAAAAGCACAGAACGAGAGCTTCTCTCGCGAACATATGTCAATGCTTTCTGCGATACAACCTACTTTCGAAACCGATTATATATGAATTTTGAGATGTCTACGAGGAACTGCGATATGTCTGTGACTTCGAAGATACTTAAAATATGGAAACGTCTTTGTAGAAGTCGTTGAATACCGCAAAGCGATACACTCTTGAAGTATGTTACGCCTTTAGTCTATGTATGTCCTGCAACAACAATGGCGACGCGATCACACAACAAGGCATGCTCTATCTTGATTTACTTTGGTTGCAGCGTTCGTACCGATGAAAAAGTACCCACGATGTGGCAAACACCTACATAGAGTAAAGCGAATAACGTTTGGATCACTAGCTCCGACAGTTGTATGCTAGGAGTCAGAAGTGTTACTTCAAGTAGTCGAACGTCCGACTTCTCGAGGGAACTAGTTTTGAATTCTAGAGGGCCTTACATTGAGTATTCCTATAAACTAAATGTCAGCAGTTAGTTCTCGCCGTTGGTAAATGTTACACAACCGAACCGATGGGATGATCGTAAATGCCTTAGAATAATTCTTTACCGACGTATGCCATGGATAACGAGCCGAAGCACCTGCAGTTTGTGTATACCTCGTTCTTATCAGTAGCCATTGCCCCTGGCATCACCGTACTCAATTCGACTCTATGCCTTACTGTGCTAACGTTTAACTACATATCCTGGTGAAAATAGCTCTCAGGAATTACGATTAATGTATTTTAGTGGAGTACACAGGTATTTGAATAAATAGTGCCTGGCACCATTCGTGGCCCTCTTGTCATACTATTATAAAGAGTAAGGACATTTAGGTGGGAAATACATTTTGTCAGTAAATTTCTTTACTACGCGTGGCTGCGCTTAGAACGCGATTACGCTAACACTCGGTACATCGGGAGTAAAGTTATTGAAACGGCCACGCGGATAGTGATTAAAGTTTATCACAGATTTGTAAGACGATCACGAAGTGCAATCTTTTAGCCAACACACTTTTTTATCGATAAAGGAAAAAGTATAAAGAAATTGTTATTTTTCATAACGAAGTGAAATTTAAATCTATCGAAGGATACATATGCCTCCTATAGTTATTACAAATTTTCTATTAACGCGAAAATGATTATACTTAATTGATATTGGTGTACCTTGACAAGAAGTGAAATTGTACAGGTTCGACTTATTTGGAACATCTACTGTGCAGACGTAGCATAAGTACGTGGCTCGTAATCGAGCACTTCGCTTAAGTTTATTCAAATGAAATTGAGTACGTTTTCGGCAAGAGGACAAAACTTGAACGCGTAATGTTATGAGATAATTTTAAACTCTTTGCGAAATCGTTTGTCAAAAAAATGGATTATCAAGTGTAAGCAGTCAATACTTTCCTCAAACTTCTACCTTATTCTTTATTATCCATGCCCTTATTTGCGTTTTCATAGTGCAATTTGACCAAATCGAGAGAATGATATCCAAATACATTCTTTGTGTAATGGAGTACAATTCACTTTGGAATCGGTATGATTGATATAATGATCACAAAACGTCCGCACGATTCAGTTAACGATATGACAGGCTTTAATTGCCTACTGAAAGTGAACTCATGCGCGTAAAACGTACGCGGGGACATATTTTATCATGCAATGCAGTGTAGCGTGATATATATATAATTAAAGCTAAAAATTAGGTAATTCATTAAATGTATATACACTGCACGTACACACATATTAATGTATATTTTTAATATCAACTACGTGTAAGTACTATGTCAGCCGTACATAAGATAGATGTCACCAAAACCATTCGTGTATCCGCTCTTTATTCGTTACGATCGATGACCTTTATATTCTTTGATTAATCAGTCGACGAAATTAAACTTAAACCCCGTCTTATTTTAAACATTAGATTACTAAGGCGGAACTTGCGTGCAATTACTTGAATATTCTTTGAACATCTAAGTCCATGAAGATACCCATTGAATATTTTAGTACTCATAGGTGTACCCGCGAGCGTATGGAACAAGAATTATTTTACGGTAAATTTAAATAAAAGTGACGAGTCGTAAACGTCCCTCCATCGATGAAACCGAAACTTGAAGGAATCTTCCTCAGTGGACATTTTATTTGGAATAATTTTCATGACGTTCGGGTACATACTTACCAAGTGTTGCCTAAGTCCACTTCGCAAATTGGCCCCCGGAATTAGTTCAACGAATCCTTTGTGTAATGGATTAACCACGCAGATTTATTTCGCTTCCGTAAAGTAAAATCGAGACTTCATACTTATTCTCATCCTATTCGATCCTAGGAATTACTCTCGGTACCCGTTTTATTTCCTCATTTCATCTATCTCTAACATCAGTGATAACATAGAGGTATCTTTCTAACCGTACAACTCGACACGATGAATGCAAATTACGCGATACGTCTCTCGATAAATAGATGTCCATAATAGAACGTCCAGGCAGTCACCGGCGCTTTTCTAATCGGTACACTTTGTAAGTAAGGAAATCGATTTATCAAGACATTTTAAAGTCCCTTTATACGTAACGACATTTCCGATTCAGCACGTGTGAACTTGTCTTGATAAATTGTCACTAGAATGGTCATACGGCTGTGTTCTTTAATATCCTAATGAATATTTGATACGTAGCATAATGGTAATTATCACGGTTAACGAACTCAGAGACTATTGAAATTGTTGGATCGCTGTGAATGAAATGGACCACCTTTAAGAGAGCAGCTTTACGTTAGGACTCTTTTATACGGACGAACGGTCTGTAGAATGAAACACTATAAATATATACATATATATTATACATATATATTTGTATATAACCATGTGCTTTGTTCGAAAAAAAAAAAAATGATAAAGAAAATACACAAGATACTCGAAGTAGCCCCGGCTCGTAGACTACAGGGGTAAACAAATGAATTTCAATTGCACGGCACAAGTACCGATCGCTGTAACGACGTAGCGAGTTAATTAAAAGTTGTACGTACCAGCGAGAAACGTTGTCACCAGAAACGAGCAAAGTTAAGGTATTAAGTTTAATAACGCAGGTTTAAGTGCTGGACATATCTGTAAAGCGAAGTAGCGTCACCTTTCGCATATACTAATAGTAATGTCGTCATTTAGCGTTACCGTTATATCTGTGCATTTTTAAACTACCGGGGTAAGATCGAAACCCTCGTCTCGGCTGCCGATAAGCGACCGAGTGATAAGGAGTGACGGAGGCTGGGACGAAGGCCCGGCTCGCAATTAACATTTAAATCTATGCAACCGGTTGGTTTTAAAATGCACACGTGGAAAAGATGAATTATTAACACGTATTAAATATTAATGTAACGTAATATCCAATCATTTATTTGTACGATAAAGTCTATAGAAGGTTGTTTAACGATTCGCGGAAATTATGTATTTTAGCGTTAGAATTGGTTCCCAATTGCGATTACATTGTACAATGTATAAATTTTACCTAGGACTCGCACGTATATGTACGCGCGCATCCGCGCGCGTGTATGCACGGTAAGGCCGAGCATGTGTATGTGCCGTACGTACGCACACATCGCCCGATGTATGGTACACATTAGGAGCTACCTACGTCACCCATAGTTGTGCGTTTAATTAGTCGGTAATTAAAAGAAACAAGGAAAGTAACTCGTATAGTGCCATCGTAACAGACTAATTAAAGAAATACCAAGTTTACGTTTTAACTAGTTATATATGTCAGCGTGGGCCGACGTGTCTCGATTGTTTTTTTCTTTCTTTTTCCGGGACTTTACTCGGATATTTCGGCCCCGACTTTTTCGCCGAATCAAGTCAAACGATTAGGAGTCATGTATACATTATATCTCGGCGAAAGTCGACTCGAGAGGCGTCGATCCCGAGTCCATCGAGGATGTAGTCGCGACGTCGAAGACAAAGACTCGGTTTACGTTTGTAATAATGACGATCGTCGCGTTCGCCAATGTTGTACGTAAGTGTAAGACAACCGAAATATGTGCCCATATGAAAGTGGCCTAAGTCATATATTTTTTGTTTCGAAATTACATTGAATTAATTTCCTTTGAAATAATATGGCGTGAAATAACTGATAAACTCATTTTTTTTTTTTTTTATTTTGACTTAGACCACTTTCATAATTATGGGCACATATGTCGAACTAAGAGGTAAAGCATATCCCGACCATTGTTTAGACTGTTCAGTCGGCTCTCACGTTTTCCGTAAACGAGAATTCCCGTAAGACTCTATACTTTGAGCTGTGATTCTGTTCAGAACCTGGCATTCACTTTTCTTAAAAAAGAGGTTACGGATATATCCCTTTAGATTTTTATTTTAACCAGGACTTTGTTTTTAACGCTCCAGTGAAGGCGAAAACGTCAATAAATGAATGCTAATTGTTCTCAGAGGGTATGTCACATATCGCGTGTGATATCCCTCCTTGCAATGTACTTTTGCGTTAACAATATGCGGGGGTAAAATGGAGTTTCGGAAGACCAGGTTTGCGTTAACATACGAACGGTGGTGGATTGAGCAGTCTATAATGTTTAACCTCGTTAAATATATCCGTTGTCCGGTTATGCACATCCAATGCCATCCACGACACTGCGGAGGTACGGTCAATGTCGGTCTTAAAAAGTTGCATATGTTTAAAGATAGGATCGCGACTTTTGTTTGTACGTATCTCATTTTTGGTGCTCGACATACCCGATTATTGTTATATTATTATTACTGATCTATATGACTATGCTACCGTAATGCCTATTATCGATCGGTAAGATAATTATCAGAGTTAGCGATTAATGATGGTTATTTGATAACGCTCTATGTACATCACATGCATACATACAATCATGTAAACACTTACACATTGTGGTTATATTTCAATGTATCAGCATAATGATATAATTATTATGATGTTGCCCATAGAATACATTTTACTTGGTTTTTATATTTGGTAGTATTTCATTTGATAATCGATCCAACCACCTGCAAACTTCAATTTAGGCTTTCGATTTAAATTCGCAAAAAATGGACTTCTAAGAAACATGTCATTCCGTTTCATTGATGGGTACAATTTTCTTTTACGTTAAACCTTTTCGAGTATACAATCTTTTTTTTAGCATCCTCGTCCTACGGTCATTTTTTATAAAACAATGTATTAAATAACTCACGCTGTTAAAAATTGTCATTACATAAATTATCACAATTTGAGCGTAAGAGAATTGGCATATGGTCGATGCGCAAGAGGCTAAAAGAATTCATAAATGTAATTAAATCCCTGCCGAAGTTTAACAGGTGATAATTCATATATTTTTCTAAATTATCCCATTTAATCGTTTGTCTTCACTTTATCATTATCTCGTATCACATTATGTCGGGGATGTTAACCCATTCTCGGTTAAGCCAGAAGAAAAAACAAAAGGTTCCGCAAATCGTGGGCGAACCCAAAGTGAACATGCATTTAACCAGTATGCAGAATACCAAGGGCAATATCTGTCATTAATAAGTTACTTCCACATGCGCAAAATGCCATGCCTAGATGTACATATTCACTTCTTTCGTGTGTTAACATCTCCAGAGATGCGTACACGATAATTGGTTTTGCAAGTGACGTAACTTCGTCCTTGTGCGCTTTCAGTTTCTAATGCAACGAGTCCGAGTCCTCGGAAACTTATTGAATTTACTGTGATAATAAAGCAGACAATTCAGCCTGGCATAGCATATATATCCCCCAAAAAATAACGTGGTATAAAGAACGTTCAATGGTAATACAAACTCGCACGGTCCCCGCTAACTGTTGTGTTTATATGGTACTCTTATCGTAAATTGTTTTCCGGTAACGTAAGAGAGTAATGCTGGAAATTACGTTTCATGTCTACGTCATTGTCTCCTTGTCTCAACAGATCACACTCGTTGTACCGCATGCTTTAATTGTGCGTCATGCCCATAAACGTGGGTAACACTCCGTAATATACAATGCATGACCGTATAATATAGTGAAAAGAACGGACGCGTTACACGTTTTCTTTTAAATCTTGAATGTCTAAACGACGATGACTACGGAATATCGTAAAGATGTTCAAATCTGTATTTTTTCGGAGAATAGCCACTCGGACAGCAAAGTTGTTCCTATTTTTAAAATATCTACGTATCACGAATATGTCGATAATGTTTGCAATTTTTACGACCCATTTTTCGCTGTTTGCGGAGCAAGGGATAGTTTAGCTTCCACTTATGTCGAAAAGTTCATGGTTACCTATTCTTAGCCCTGGATCTAAGAGGACAGTGAAAGAGTTAAAAGGGGGAATTTCACCTACACGGGAAGTCGTAAGGGGCAAAAAAAATAATAATTCATTTAGGAAGAAAATTTCCAATCAATTTTTGTTCTCCAGTATATGTTTTATGTATGTACTCGCACCTGAAGCACCTGCGATTAAAAGAAAATTAATTTAACATGCACATATCTGTAATGTGATATTGTAAGTTCGTGTGTGTTATGTTGTTTTAATAACTTGTCTTTACTACTTATATTATTTGAGATTCGATTAACGGCTATTCGGCACATAGAGGAGAGAATGTGTCTCATGCATTTGTCAAATGTCTTTGTACAACAAGTGTGGTCTGAAGCACAATCTATGTACACCCTTCTCTTGTGGTCAGAATCGAATTACACGAGACATAAATTTGCAGAAGACTTTCTACTAATATACTACGGAAAGAAATTATACGAATTTTAAATTCAAAGGAGAGAGTATTTGTTATCAACTTGTCATGAAATAAGGAGAAGAGAAATCAAGGAATACCGCTTTTTTTATGCCTAATGAATAATCCGATCCCGCTCGCCAATGAAGCGCTATCGGTATGAAACCTTAAATGCACTAAAAAATACTACAATATTTCCAAACGTCCACCGACACAATTTTTACGTTCGTAAATATATAAGATAGATCCGAGAGCCGAGACGATGTTGATTGCTACAAATGAAGTGTGCTACAGACGTAATAAGTAATTTTCCCAATAGCAATATGCGAATACACTTAATGTCTTTAAATGTATTATTGCTTAATTCTCAAATACTTCTCTTCGGTACGTTATGATAGAAAATGAACATCTCTCGTTACCGGGCGACTTCAATGGATTGATGTATCGTCGGTATTTCGTGAAATTTTCGTAAAATTCATGAATTAACACATTTTTCGACGTTCGGCATTGTACCGTATCATTGGGATCTTAATGTCTTTACAGAAATCATGTATCGACATTTAGTTCAACATTTGTGGTTTGAAAATATTACGGAACACGGTACAGAATAATTGATAAGCATTCACATGAACAAGTGCACTTCGAGAGGTCTTGTCGTGGCAACGACTTAAGATAATCTATCTTATGTCTGTACGGACACTTTAATATTCTGTAGAAATGCCTTACTATCACGTGCCTGAATTAATATCTAAACTGTACTCATTCGCTTACCTGTTATTCGTTAGTGTGCGAAATGTATACGTGTAATGTCGACGTATTCTTTGTACCACTCTTGTAAATACATTCTGAACATTTACCGAGTCACTTTGGTATGTGTATGTACATATACGAAACAACTCCATAGGATAGAGTGCACGTTTATCAACCTGCTTTTTTATCAATTACGATACGTTCTACCTTTATCCTCTTACAATTTTAGTCACTTTCGTCAATTTCTCTTCATTCTTCATAGCCCGAAAATGCTGAAACACGCAGTTACTTTTTTTCTATTTGCAATGTCTACTTACAATTTGTTCACCCTATAAATCTTTTTGAAAGTATATGAACGTATGTCTACTAATCATAGGTCGCAAAAATGTCCCACTTACGAATTTCATATAAGAGGATACTTAAATTAGAGAGTAAATGTTATGTTTGCACAATTGGGAACGTGTAAAGATTTATAGTTTAAATAAATAGCATGTGAAAGTCCTTGCATTTTTCCTCTTTATTACACACAAATTCCAGTATACAGAAACGCAGTGCACTTTACAGTTTCGTCACAAAAATAAAGGAGGAATTGTGTATACATGTACATACAACTTTTTTTTACATATACATTTAATCTAATGTTAATTCTCAGTATAGAAAACGAACACTTGAATATATTTTACATTTGCATATAATTTCAATAAAATTTTACTGGTAAAATAAAGAAAAAAAAAAAAAGAAAACGTAACCATAGCCTGCCTCTTTCATTGTCAAAATAATATTAAATACTGGCTTCAAAACAATATAATGTAGTAACGATTTAAATCATTATGAATAAAGTATTTTTACCAAGGTCAAAGTTTAAACGTTTATCTAGTACTTCCATTTTTACTCTAGTTACATATGAACTTGAATTGCTATTAAACATAAAAATATGACAATATTTGTATGGTTAATTGGTTAGGTTTCTTTTATTAACGAGATAAAGAGGAGTACAAGTAAAAAAACCAAGTAATTTACATCCTTGACGGATTTCACAGTCTGCATATTTAAGATAAATGCAAGGCTCGCATTTGTTTCCTGGATATATCATCTACTTATCCTTCTTACTTCCACATAGTGGAACTTTATTTAATTGAACAACACTGACCCATATTTCATTATGCGAAAATATTATGTGATTTGATTAAACATACTAAAAGTATAAAACTACTCATTGCAACACATTAATCGAGGAGCATATTACTCACTTCGTAGAAGACTGTTTTGTACTGCACACCAGCAAAAAGAAATTACCTGAAAAATGTCCAACCTAAGCAAAATAAATATCCCGTGGCAACAAACAATCAGTGTACTATTGAGACCAAATACAGTGACATGTTTGTTACCGCAAGACATTCTCTGTGTAGTATAATCTTGACTGTGATCGTTAAGGAAAGTAGTTTAACTATCCATTAAATATTGTTCATGGTTTTGCCATACAGTGGAGACCTCAGTGCCCGAAAATATCATTTCAAGTTTATAGCCGCAGGATTATGAGCAAGAACCAATTAAATCATAAAGTCGCTGATAAAAACTCTCGCGACAAGTTACAAGATTCTGATTCTTGTTTATATCTGTTTTGTCTTTATCCAGGGCTTCCAGAAGACTGTTTATTCTGAGATTACATGATAACGCTAAACTCTTATATTAAGGATGCAGTCGTCTCATCCTATAGACGATTTTAGCAGTTCAAGACACTAAATTCTTATAAGCTTAATACAAAAATTTCTCTTGCATAAAATTTTGATGTTATTAATTCTTCAGGTTCACATAAGGCGACAGCGATCTTCACCCTGTGGATCCCCCTGGAACAAAAAACGAACATTTACTTACTAAAGTAAAAAAAAAACCGAGAGAAAAAGCGTAACATGTATTTCATGTATTCTAATCAAGCATGCCTTTCAAACTGAAACTGTTCTTTAACGATTCGTATAGCTTTCATTAGTTACAGTGAAGCAGGCAGTTTTGGGATTACAATAAAGATGTTTTGTTTTTCTTTATTTCCGTTACCTTGTGATTTTCTGTACTTGTCCACTGATTTAAATTGCTAGGCATAAAGAACCAATCTTAAAAATCATCAGTACTTGACTTAAGTAAGATTATTCTTACGTATATCGTAACAAACCAAATAATGTGCATTAATCCCAGACTGTGCGCGGCCACTGTTTTCCACAATATTGCACCAGTTAAAGCAAGATGGATGTATCCACTGAATATTAATCAATATTAACAGCAGAGTCATTAGTAATTATACCGATCGTTAGTTGAAAATGTTGCGATCTGGCCGATAGAACACGATCTTTAACAGATTAAATCTTAAACCAATATGTAGGCTTGACACGTTAAAGGAGTAAAGCTTTGATGATCATCTAAATCTCAGTTCTAAAGACAATGTGGTTAACTGTGAGCATGATATCTCTTCAAGAAATATTACTCTTCTTACACCATAAGTTTTAGTGAAGCGTGAGGAAAATAATGCATTGTGCGAAATAACAGAACGAACAACATACCGAAGCTAAATAATGTCTTTTAAATATAATATTATAAATGCCGCAATGTATTAATTGTAGACAAGTGACTGAACGGTCGAACATCGGATAGACTGCAAAAACTTACATAGGCTGCACATCGGAGCCGTGTCTTCACGCTTAATATGGGTAGAGATACCTTCTCTATGAAAACAGAATGTAACATTGGTGAGGCGAACCCTACGTCAAATTACGTCTATTTTTGTAAGCCACGCCAAAATCCTATGTTAAACTCCATGCTGAATTGCTGTCTGTACAAATATCTTGCTAAATTGTTTAACCGAACTGTTGTTAAACGGGCAGTCGAATGTAACATGCTTCTCGGCCAAACGGAGGAATTTACCGCGAAGAAGCAATAATACAAAACATCTCACGAAGGCTTTTTACCAAAATTGTCCGCAAGTTTCTACCAGCACTCAAATATCTTTTCGTGGGGAAAACCAATCGTAGCCACATTGTCTTTTTGTACTATAGCTTTTAAAATATTTAGCTTTGAATAAACGACACATTCACGCGACGCATTCTTTGCGTTGTAATAACAAAACATAAGGATTTTAACATAGAATATGATTACTATGCTATGCACTCTTTTGCCAAATGCGTTAATGTACTAACATTATTTGCTTCTGTGCATTTGTCACTTCTAAAGTGATGTGAACTAATTAGTTTAATTTTCATTCGTGTTGTCTGGGGGGAATTAAATTAGTTCCACTACTGTTGTGTTTACCACACCTGCGAAGCCGTAATCGCATGTAACCTTACCTGTTGATGATGCAACTCCTCGGATGCTCTAAACCCCAAATTTTCTCTGTGTCGAGAAAGAGATGTTGTCAGTTGTTGCCTCTTGCGTTCGGACGTTGCTACTTCCTACAATATAATTTAATAACTTATTAGAAATTCACATCTAACTTCGGTGAGTCATAGAAAAACCTAAAACTCATTCCAGACTTGCCTCTCCCTCATTATTGAGAAGTGTAGTCGTCATATTGTCCGCTGTAAACCACTTCTGTCCCTTCATTACTATATTAGACGGTGGCTCATGAGTAGCACCTATATCAGCGGACCAAACCATTACGCTGGCACCGGAATCAATCTTAGCTGTGCGGTGAAACTTAAAGGTAGTTTCCCGAGTTCCCGCCTTACGAATGATTTGCCACCCACTCAGCGAGAGTTCCTGTACCACAATTTATCACATATGAATGCAGTTGCACATTAACTCAAACATCGTTGTACGTGAGTCGGTTTCTAGGTATAAATTTACCTTATTGCCCTTGTTAGTCAACTTGACAAATCGACCCTGTGGATCTGCTTCAGTAATTTCAACATCGCCTCTAGCGGTGCCAGATACACTGTAATCGCTGCTACTGCGTTCCTCGCTTTCCTCCAGAAGAGTGCGCTTTCGTTTCCCACCTCTGATCGGTGTGTGCCGGGACGGGGTGCTTCTGCTGCCTGACATAGACGACCCCGGCGATTGTATCGGCGTGATGTTCAATCTGCGTACAAGTCATATTTCGTTAAACAAGTACGTATGTACCATATTATTAGTTTCATCGGAAGAACATGAAGGATCAGAAGAACTCAGTTTACAATCGAGCAACTACCTGGCTTCTTCGGATTCTAAGAGCTTCCTGTAAGCTGCAATCTCGAGGTCCAAAGCAACCTTAATGTCCATGAGGTCCTGATATTCCTGCAATTGTTGAGCCATTTCGTCGCGCATTCGAGCCAGTTCCGCTTCCAGAGCGGCCAGGTTTTCAGTGTGGCGAGCCCTCTCGTTCTCACGCAAATTCTCCAAATCCCTGTAATTAAATACGCAAACGCATTTTATTAAGAAATCAAGAAATACATCCCTATACAATGAACGGCCCCACAAACATAGTTAACGTTTGAGAAAGAAGTTCTACCTAATTCGAGAATTAAGGGCGTTGTTGCTGGCCTCAAGTTCATTAATGCGTTGGTTAAGACTGTCGATACGGGTTCTCGTTTGCCGCAGTTCCTCCACCGCTAAACTCGCAGCACCACTGTTACGCTGGGCGTGGGATGTTAAGTTCTTGATCTTGTTTTCGTACAGCAATTCGATTTCTTCGCGATTGGCTCGCATCTGACCTTCATACTGGTCGCGCAACTCTTGCAGCGACTGTTGTAACTTGGCCTCGTATTGTTCAGCTAAACGTCCATCGATCTCAGAGATTTCGACCTATAAAAAGAATATTATATTTAAGAATCGGGAATTATTCCAAGCATGTCTTGTTATTCCCTTGACACGATCAATGTCCTTTCCAAGATTGTAAGAACAGTACTTTTTCATTAGACTTCGGTAACAATTGCGCCGCATTTAAAGCGAGTAATTTTATCTGCATCCCGTGCTGAAATACCAACCTGACGTCTCGTACGAGTCTCCGTAAGCTCCTGCTGATAGACTTGATCCTTGAAGCTGATGTCCTCTTTCAGACTTTGAATATTGTTCTCGAGATCGATGCGCTGCAGAGTCTCCTCTTCGAGATGCTTGCGGGTATCGTCGAGCATGCTCTTCAGCCGTTCGACTTCCTTCTCCAATTCGCGTTCCCTCTCGGCCAGTTTCTTCCTCTCGGCCTGGGACTGATTGTACTGAGACTGTAAGTCGCTGCACCGATTTTCATATATCGACAGACTCCTCTCCACCGCTTGCAGATCTTTGGTCTTCTTGTCCAATCTGGAGTCAAAAAGAAAAAGGGTTCGTTAAGGTCGATAAGGTTGATCGAACACGCCATGTTGGTTCTAGTCCATAAATAAATAAATTTTCGATGAAAAATGATATTTCATGAGTTTCAGGACCTACTTTAGGGCCTCCATATCCCCGTGATAAAATTTAAAACAAATCGGTACACGTAATTCGGAGAATACTTTCCCCAACGATTTGACTTTTCATATATATAGGTATATAAAATTTCAAATATATATTAATAATATATATATATATATAAATAAATTTTATATATATATGTTGACTCTTTCATATCACCTTAAGATACGTTTATCCGTTTCAATCTTCAACCAAAGTCGTAAACACAGCTCCTGGTCTCGCTCGAGGGCGAGGGTTATTAATTCCAAGCCGAAAATCCTTTCTTTTACGACAAAACAAGGTCGCTTTGCCGGACACGCGTGCAATCGCGATGAGACCTTCCAACCGCGTCAAAAGACGCCGCCATGTAACGTCTCCACCTTGTTATCCTTGATCTACAAATTTCGCACCGTAGCGGGGAATTTTCAGTGACACGACCCTGAGTATTCAAAACTCCCGGTGAAACCAGCTAGTCCCGGGATTTCGGAATAATCGTCCATATAAAAGTGTGAAAAATTTTCAGGGACCTGGGCTCGGCACCGACTCCATGAAAAGCGTCGTCGGGGCGCTATTCCGGGCAGTTATTTAGAAGTTTAACGGCGTCCGGCGAGAAACTCCTCCGCGACATGTCGCGTGCCTCTCTCTCCGCTCCTATTTTAAGCCGAGCCGAGACCCACATTGAGAATTTTATTTTTCCCGCCACGATATACGCCCCGATGTCTCCGCGATATCAATTCCCCAGCCGAGCGCGAGCGCGCTCTCTCGCCGTTTCTTGCGCGTCTTCTCCAGAGTCGACGCCGTCGACGTCGCGGTCTATATCAAACGTGCCCTGGATTTCGGCCTTTCCTCGTGGAAAGGAGACTCCGATCGATAATTTTGGGAATATACCAGAATTTCAAACTCCCGGAGGCAAAGCCCTGCAGCGACCTTTTCAAAAAGTCACTCTTTATTGGCGATACGTTTAATAACGTAATGTATATTAACATATGTTTATTAACATTTAAAAGGTTCTCCGTGTTACCGCTTCAGGAGTATAAAAGCGCGGTTGCGGCTTTACATAGAAGGATCAATCTATTTTACAACTGTGAAAAAATGAAACATTTGTTTATTACATTTTTTCGACATGTATGGAGTAGGATTCCTATATTAGTTTCTTTTTTTTTTTTTCAAAAAGTCACTTTTTATCGGCGATATGTTTAACAACAATGTATATTAACATATGTTTATTAACATTTAGAAGGTTCTCCGTATTACCGCTTCAGGAGTATAAGAGCGCGGTTGCGGCTTTATATTGAAGGATGAATCTACTTTATAACTAAAAAAAAAAAAAAAATTAGACATTTGTTCATTAGATTTTTCCGACATGCATGGAGCAGGATTCGCATATTGGTCGTACACGCGTTATTTAACGTTTTTTCCAGAATTTAAAATCTGAAATGCGTTTATCTCAAAACGATATTTTTGCACGCGACGCAGGTAAAATTTAAAAATAAAGTAAGGCACCTATCGATTTGAAATTTTAGAAGGTTATGTTTCGCGTACACATTAATATCGCTTATCCGCTCTTAGCCAGCTTCCCTTGTGCATTTCACTTGAGCAGTGCGTAAAACAGAACATAATTATATGCCGATTCTCCTTAGGTGATAGAGTATCAATTGAACCTCAAATCCCAAATGACCCGAAAACGTGTCACGTAATCAAATCAGTTCGCCGACTGATGTTACAGCCTCGCAGATTATAAGGTACACTGGGAGACATCAATGCCCTCTCATCCTGCACAGGCGATGTCGTATCTACAGGTTAGGCATTCATGTCCGCCATTGTACAACTGCATCGAGGTACGCGAGCTCTTAATTTCCCCGAATGTTAGAAATATTCTTACAATTCATATGCAAATTAAATACTCTAACGTATCATCCTGCCGCACATTTCAGCATAGGCCATTATTGCGCCGAAGCGGCGTCTTATTGCGACAGTAAATTGCAGAAAATTAAGCATTGTCGTCAATTACCGTACCAAGTAGTTTATCGTTCGGCGATAGATTTGCAAGTACATGGAGTGTTATTAGTCGCACGCACTCCGTGTCGTACCAGGGTTAGTAGTTACAGTGTCAAGTGCAACGTAACGCATTAATTGGGTCATGAATCGTCGATAACCATCCTACGTACAATATCGGCAACCGAGGCGACGGCTTTCTCTCCCAAGCTCAGAAAAACATTCCTACCCAGTTCCAGTGGTACTTTCTTTCCGTCTTCACTTTGACTCTACCTCAAGTTTTACAATTTCTCGATTCAGGACACCAGCTTAAGGCGGTACAAAAGTGTCACATATACCCACGAAATAGTAAAAATATTTATAAAAAAAAAATACATTTCTCCAAATTGCGTGCACCGTATCATTTGAAACTTCATTGAACACTCCACGACATTATGGAGGCCCTAAAAAAAAACGCGATGCTCGTGAAATTTCATTTTTAATGTATAAAAAATGTATTTATCTCGAACTCCCCCCAAAACACATTTTTTTTCGACAAATGATCGTTTAGATACAGAAGGATAAGAGCGCATGAGCAATTAGAGTACAGACGTCACGAAGTATAACATATTCCCCTCTTGCATACCTGCAGAAGTATTTAATCGACCCGAGTGAACTTTACGAATTAATCGTTTTTTAGATCTAGCCACGGACAAGGTCTCGGCATATCGGTAAACAATGCGATTAGGAATTAGCGTAACAGGTAGGGGAATATTGACTCCCATCGGCTATCCCGAAATAGTAATTACCGACCCAGCTTGGTGACGTCACCGGTGCTTTCGAATGAAGGTTTCATTCAGCATTCATTTCCACCGTTCTTGGCGCATAGTGGATATCGTACGCCTAGAAGGTCATCCGGTTTTTCTACATCTGAATTCGTGGTGAGCTAATCGGAATCATTGCCTAAAATAGACGAGACTGCTGCCGTGCTTTCGCCGCTCACATTCAGGCCTGCATTTTTGAAACCGAATACCCATCCACGTGACCCACCGTGAAAATGGGACACGATATCCGGCTTGATTTGTTTGTCCCTTTCAAAATGTCGTTTGCAATTGCTTCGGTTAATATTACGCGAAGGACTAGCGTAATATTAACAGACAGAAAGCTGTTAAGGTGAAGTGAAAGCCCCTTCAAATCGGCCGATTCGAATAAAACACTTTTTTATTTAAAGGGTATTGTACCAAACTGTCCGAAACTTTGACACATGACTCGTGATCGTCTAAGAATTTTCCTGACATAATAAAAAATTTGGATTTTCCATAAAAATGTTTTAACTTAGCCCAGACCAGAACCGAAATGGCGTCGAGCTTTCATGTTTCGATCAATATACAATTATTGAAGGTTCTGATATGATGTCCCATTAGCTACATTTATATTTATGTTGAAGTATTTTACGGTCTACGTTGAGAATTATACGAACTGAAGGGTTCCATATGTCATTTCGGTAAAGTAATGATAATAAGATGGATGTAAAACCGCCGAAATCCCATGAATTCATGACTGCTTATATTTCGATGAACCAACGTCGCCATCTGTAACGTTTAGCCGCAAATCAATTTTTACTCTAAAACACGCGTTAGCCGCAGGACAAACCAGCATTCGTTTGCAATCGTTGGTGAAAGTATTTACCACATTTTCCCACCTGACTCTGTAATATTCCATTTCTACGGTATTCTAAATTCTTCGAGTTAGGTCCTGAACCTCTTCAATTTCGATTTGAACCCTCCAAGACGCGTAAAACATCGAAAACGTGCCCGGACTCCGCCATGTTGGTTCTAGTCTCTGACAAGTAAATAAACTTTCAATGAAAAATCAAATTTCATGAGCTCCAGGACCTGGTTGGCTCTAGTCCCTGACAAGTAAATCAATTTTTGATGAAAAATCAAATGTCACGAGTTCAAGGACCTACTCTAGGGCCTCCATATTTACGTGGTAAAATTTGAAACGAATCGGTACCCCCAATTCGGAAATTACTTTTCCCAACGATGTGACTTCTCAGACATATATAGGCTGACTCTTTCGTATCCTCTTAACGCTCTAAAATATTGCTCTAGCTCGTTTAGACTCGAATGGTATCGAAGAATGTACAATCTCGGGGAAAAATACTCCCGGGAGGAAGCGGCCTTGCGTCGTTCTCCCGGCGAGTCAACGTTTTCAGGTTAGACGCTAGCGAGGTGACATCACCATCGCATAGTAAGCGTGACGCAACCACTCGTATAACGTCACGTTTGGTTTGGGCCGGGCCTGGTTCCCCGAGACATTTCGGCGGACACAAGCCGGACGCCACCTTCGTTTTTTACTCGGCTACATGCCTACGCTCTTTTAACTTATCTCTGAGACAAAGTTTCAGATCGTCGCATCGTCACGGATCGCCTCACCGAGCATGCTTGCCGGTTTGCGCATTCCGAGGCGTACTTATTGATGATAATGCGACTTCGCGGTTTAAGTTGATTTTGGTCAACCAATGTTGTATATCGAGCATGGATATATGGGAGCGACAGAATTTATACGATTTTAATCACGGTTTTCGGCTTTCGAGAATGCGTTAAGGCTTTTGAAGCTTTTTTTAAACTTCGGGGAGTACTACAAAGAGGAATGTATGTAAAGGGTATTTTTTAATAAGAAGGGATATCAAGATATTGATCCACCTGGATTCACGATTCCCGTACACACGCGATTCAGTCATAACTCCGCGTTGACCTTACCGTGACCCACTTACACGGTTTTGTAGGGATCTTGAGGCAATAAAACTTCCTCTCTCCCAAAATGGAATCCGTGTTTAATCGAGCGGTGAGCTTTTGCTAGCCTTTGATGATGATATTAGTGTTTGTAATCTGCTTTGAGAAATGGTACGCCTTTCCGTTTGTTTTTTGTGAACAGAATGTCTTCCATTGTTCTCTTATCGCTTGATTAAATAGTTAATTTGATAGATTAGTATTTGGAAAGCATAGTCCTCAGAAACCATGTAAACTAAAGATGTTAAACGTAGAATAGATGAAACTATATTTGCAACATTGAAAGGGTATATCGAACACATTTTGTAATCTATCCTTTGTTCTTTTCAAATATACAATTCATTACTTTGTATAATGTAAACGATACCACTTATATTCCATTAATGACTTTCACTAATGTGTCAAAACCCACATGAAGGAAAATAATTTGATATCTCTGAAATGCCGTTATTAATAAAACGTGTGTAGTATCAAGAAAGAAACATACCAGAGTTGAACACACAGATTCTTTTCAACTCTTGGAATAATGATTTTAAACTATAAAAAAATATAGGTACATGCTCTATTTTTAATAAAGATGAAAAAATATGACCGTAATACTTTAAGAACTTCATCAATGGACATATATCTTCCTTCAATAAAATAAGTGAATTGTATTATTTAGTACAAATCATACTAATTTCAGTAATTTCCTGCTTCACAGAATATCCAAGATCCAGAACCACCAAAACTATATCTTCAGCCTCGCATTAGCTGCTTTCAACCACTCATTTTAATTTACTTAAAAATCATATGAATATTTTGACAGGTTAATGTCGCACTTAATCTAGTACCTCTCGTCCAAGATTCAGTTAAGTTAATCATCTTTCAATCGGTCCAATACAGCGAGCAATGTTCGAAAGTATACACGATATAATTATTTCAACGAGACAATCTTATGCAGCATATGTCCATCATATGAAAGAAGTTAAATTGGTACACGAAGTAAAGTAGATGTGGAGTCGGAGAACAGGGAAGTAGAACTTACTTAATTTTAAGGTCCTCGTTGTCGTCCCAGAGACGCTTTGTGTCGATCTCAAGCTTGGCCCGTTCCCTGGCAGTGTCATCGAGCAGTTTCCTAGCATCGGAGAGCTCATGTTCATACATAGACTTGATGTTGGAAACTTCCCTTGTGACAGTCTCCTGGGAGGTCTGGACTTCCCGCGTGAGCCGGGAGTTCTCGGTCTCTAGGTGCCGTACCTTCTCGATATAGCAGGCCAAGCGATCATTGAGATTCTGCAGGTCCTGCTTTTCCTGGAGACGCGAGTACCGCGTTGGACTGAGAGGACTTCCAGGACGCCGGCCGATCGGCGTCGACGTGTTGGGCTGCGGCTGTGCGGAGCCGACGCTCGCCGCCGCCGCGGCGGCTTTCTTGCTCGCTTTAGTCGACATCTTTACCGAAATGTCGTTCGCTCTTCGCTCTTAGTTATCCGTTTATCGCAACGCCACTACCCCACTTCGCTCACTAGCCGAACATCCACTCTTGGTGTACGAGAACACCGCGTCCGTGAAGTAAGCTTTTACGGTTAGAACGCTCAACGGGCTCGATTTGTACTACCTTAGTCAACGGACAAACAGTCGTGCAGTGACGCCACCTCAAATGCGACGAGAATAGACTCGTGGATTAGGCACGCTCCGCACGGCGATTCGGATAAATTGTTCTCGCGCGCTCATTGGTAGACTCGAAACGCTTTCCACCAATCGACGCGTGGCACGACATCCGCCATCTTGGAGAGTCCATCAAGTATTTCTATTCGATGAATCGAATCGACGCGATTGGTTCGTCGATGTCGAGTCAACAACTGCAACCAGTCGGAATTATGCATTGGTACGCCTCGTTATTTGAAATTTCTTGCTTTTGAAGACTTCAAGTTCGAGGACAAAGATTACACACGTCTGAACTCGTTTCCGAGGAGAAAGTAGGGTAAATCTTGTTACACTTCATTTTTAAAATGTTGTCATATATGTATGTACAGACATTTATACAGACTAAGTTGGCGCAATAATAGAATAGGACCTTATATCAGCTTGCAAAGGAGAAAACTTTAATGAAGTGTTACTTCTGGTACTTTCAAAATTAAATTTATATATATATGTGTAAAACATCGACGAGCTTGATACTCAACAAAAACAAAATATCAATTTCAAGAAGAACAAAACTGCATTTATTATTCCAAAAACTTGTTATAAATTTATGAAACATTTATATATGTATGTATTGCAGCTTTCAAAATAATTATTTACTCAACAAGGCAATGAGTTATGTCGTGCATTCAATAAATATTATAATAGTACGTAATAAAAAACCTATTCTATAAAGCTCATAAATAAAAGCATCTCTTAAACCAAAAAAAGAGCATAGTTTTATTTAGAGCTTTGACATAAGAAAATTATAAGTATCCAAATTAACAAAAGTTTGGTAGTAAAGTACTCGGCATAGTTTTGCAGAAGTTTATTACTACAGACTCTCGAAAATGGTATTAAGAGAGTGGAACGAGGCACCATATAAATAAACATCGTATTACGATATATTTAACAATCAGTAGTAACAAAGGATAGGTGTCTTTGCATCACTGCACCAACGGAACATTACTGTCCATCGTATTTTCCAAGCGTTTCTTCTGTATTTTTAGTTTTTACATATACATATATGTATATTTATATACTCTTAATGTACTATCCGTAACATAACAATGGTTTATCGCTAGAGAAAACCAGATTCCTTTTAACGGGGCAACAGATATAATCCATAAAGTTTAATGACTTTTATTTTCTTAAATAAAAATATATCATCTCATTAAAGAACATTATCTCCTATAATCGTAGTGTAATATTAAATATATATATATGCTTTTTCGTCTTTAATTTTTTTTTTAAATATTTATATATATAATAACTGTTATGCATCAAGTCGCAATTCAATAATTAATGTACACAATTTCGTCTCAATGCTATACACGATTCGTTTTTGGTCTTACAGCGCAGTGTTGCTTCAGTCGTCTTTGGTACAGGTGTGCGTACAGCATGGCATAACGCGTATCTCATATCGATAACACAAGATGTCTCTGGTAAGCATGCCTGTTGTTCCCTGAGTTGGTATACACCCTTATCAGTCTTTGCCATTTTTCATACCCTCTTTTAAAGCGATCACCATACTCCAGGTAAAAACAGTTGATTTTTAATTCCATATATTTCCAATTGCGGTTGTTTTTTAATTGAATAATTCGTCAAATCGTTCGTCTAATGCATTTACAATTAAAGGAACATTGTAGCAAATACAATCCAATTTTGGAAATGAACGTAGAGGAAATGACATTTAGGTATATCGTTTGTTTCGTTACAAATAAAACAACGAACTATACAGAGAAATAAATACACCAGCATAGGTGTATCATAAAGTGACCAATTTAAAAAGGACCAAAAATTTGTAAATTAACTACATAATGCATCGCCAATGTGTAGCCTACGAGTCAGTACATAGGCAACTACTGTTCCCATATTAAGTAAAATATTGCCACTATGCCGTAGCATTATTAATACAAATACATTCTTTTCCACAGCAGCATTGGTGCTAGTATCGATTATTTATTAAACCTGCACTCCTTACAGCGCGTACCACACTTGTGCGTAGACCTTAAAAAAAGGTTACTTCCGAGGCACGGTCACAGTATTCACATTAAACGCTTTATCTCTTTCATGATCACAGACAATCCGAATGACATCGCTACGAAAGTGCTCCGATATTTACGCTCGCTCTTGGTAGACCAATAAAACTATCAAGATTCTGTACACCTCCTGTACAATTGCCCTCAGGATATCGATAATTAATACGTGCAATAGTACACCTCCTGACCTTTATGATGCAATATGATATCCCGCTAGACTTTATACAATCTGAAACGTGAACAAATCGTCCCGTACATCACATTTCTACACGCATAAAGTAGGAAAGGATCAAACATGTTTATGTACAATTCTAAGAGTATCGAGATAGGAATGATGCAATGTTCGTGTCTCAGGCGAACCTAAAAGGCAGCGGTATTGCGACACCCACAAAATGCATAGGAAACGAAAGAAAGAATTTTTCTCGGATGAACGTATATTTAAAAACTCTACTCGACTATAATCGTGGCAAGACGTTTGGGCCGTTTCCCCGCCTTCTGTTTCCTGTGAATATTCAAATCTCGCTTCCCAGGTCGCGTGGAATCCGACGACTCGATCGAGCTGTCGGACCCACTGGTTGTTTGTTCTAATTTTCGTTTTCTGGCTCGAGTTATAGGACCACTTTGGACACTCTCCCCAGGCTCCGCTTGAGGGTCGCGTTTGCGTCGTTTCGATTTGGGCAACTCCGGTTGTTCGCTCCTTTCCAACTGGTGAACTATTTTCGGCGAGTTCGAGTCGGACGAGGATGATAATGAACTCAGATATTCATTGACTTTGTCCTCGCCGAAGTCGAACGCGTTAGGTTGAGCGGGCGAGGCCGAGGTATTAGTCATGGTTGTCATGCATCGCGGCCTCATCAGCTGAACCGAAGGACTCGACGACGTCGTCGAAGTCGAGGAAGATACGGAACTCGAGGTGGATCTCTTATGCAACTTGCGTCTCTGAGCCAACTTGGCTCCATCGACCTCGCGGAGTCGGAAACCTTCGGGCCGCTCGATCGACAGGCTGGTGGAACTCGTCTCGATGCTTGGCACCTCGGGAGTCGCGTTGGACCCCACGATCCACTCGTGATTGACGAGCGAAGCCGCTGTCAATCTCTTGCTCGGGTCGGCCGTCAGCAGGCTCTTCGCAACTTGGGTCCCAGCTGGGGAAACGTGACTCCAAGCCTGCCCGTCGAAGTCTATCTCGCCAGCTTTGATACGAGAAGGCAAATCGGGCGAGCCGATTCGGAAGGGTGGTCGTCCCGAGAGCATGGAATACAAAATGGCCCCTAGGCTCCAGAGATCACAGCTTTCGTCGTAGCCTTGCCTGGCGAGCACTTCCGGGGCGGCGTACGGAAGCGTGTAACAAGGAGTATGAAGCGGCTCGCAGCCTCGCTTCAGCCTCGCAAAACCGAAGTCCACCACTTTGATCGGAGAGTCTTCCCCGCTGTGGGCGAATACTAAGTTTTCGGGCTTAAGGTCGCGGTGAACTATGCCCCTAGAGTGCATGAAATGTACGGCGGATGCGAGCTGCTTCATCACTCTGCTCGCCTGCTGCTCCGTGAACGGTCTTGGGCGACGCAGCAGCTCTCCACCGGACAGGAGCTCCATGACGATGTACGTGTGCGCCCTGTCCTGATAGACTTCTACTAATTTCACTATATTCGGGTGTCCCTGGCACGCGCGGAGTAGGCTGGCCTCCCGCCCGCAGTCGACTCTTCTGCTGACAATTTTTACGCCGAATTCTTGTAACGTTTGCTTGTGCCAACATCGCCGACAAACCGAGAAGCTTCCGTCGCCGAGGGCGTCTTCTCGCGGGTCCAGTTCGTAAACTTGGAAGAAGGTGGACTCCTCGAAATGCGCAGCCAGGACGTCCGACGCGGAGGGTCTCTGAACGTCGGGACTTATCCTCGCGGTTTCCTTGAAGATGTCCTCGCTAACTACGTTATCGCCGAAGAGAACGGACGGAGCAACGTAAGAGTAGCCCTGAAATTAAAGGTTTAAGTCAGTAACCGCCTTCTCGATTCTCCCCTAGACTTACGTGTATCATGAATTTCGTAACTACATCGTCAAATCGATAGGTTACGAGAAATCCTATGATAATGGAGAAAGATAAGGTGGTAAAGAGCGTTACCCTGAATATCTTATCGTAGTTGGGAGGTACCACGGCAGGACTGTCCGCCGCGACCATTTTAGTAAATTCATCAGAAAAATTGCTGGTATCCAATTCATGAGTGATCCGAGGCACAAAAGGCGGAGGTATTTGACGCTTCTCCAAGGCTTCCCAACTGAAAGGAGGTGGCGCCTTCTTGAAGAAAGGATGCTCCTTGAGCTCCTTCGCATCGCGCGGTCCACCACCTAGCCTCTGTCGCGGATCCTTCACCAGGAGTCGCGTAATGAAATTACGGACCGCCGGGTTTAAGTGGCTAGGAATGGGTGGCTCCGTCTTCAGGATTCTTTTCGAAATTTCCTGCTGCGTGTTCCTTTCGCCTTCCACGGTGAAAGGTGAAGCACCGGTCAATAATTCGTACGTGAGAACTCCCACGCTCCACCAATCGACAGCCTGCAATTACAATATTTACTTGTAAGTATCCGTTCTCAGAACGGCATACAAATTTTTAGTATCATCCCTTATCGCCCCAACTTACGATATCATGCCCAGCAGATCCTCCTCGCACAACTTCTGGAGCCATGTACTCGATGGTTCCGCAGAAAGAATACGCTCGGGCATTGCTGTCTCTTTCGTGTGGTAAAAATTCTTTGCTCAGACCGAAATCTGTTAACACAATGTGGCCTTCCCGATCTAGAAGAATATTTTCAAGCTTGATGTCCCGGTAAATTATGCCTAGCTGTAATCAAATGACCAACTTTAGTAGTTCCACGCCTCGGGAAGTGTTTTCACGACTTCCGGATAACTGTAAGTGAAAAGGTACCTTGTGGAGGTGCTCCAAGGCTAAAATGATTTCCCCTATATAAATACGAACTTCGTCTTCCGTGAAATGTTCACGCTGGTATAAATGTGTAAACAATTCTCCTCCACTGACGTAATCTGTAAAAAAGAATTAGAGCACCGGTGACGGGAAATTCTGCCGACCTAATGGCTTTCGAATACATGGAAAGTATACCGTACCTAAAATTAGATGAAGTTTCGCGTCCGTTTGGAAAGCATAGTGTAACGTGACTAAAAATGGGCTGTCCCGGACAGCTTCTAAAACTTGTCTCTCGGTCTTGGTGTGCTCCGTCGTCTTCTTTTTCTGGACAATGGATGCCTTTTTCAATACCTTCATGGCATACAGACGACCAGCATCGGCACCCGTTCTTTTCCGTACCAGAAACACTTTTCCGTAGGCTAAAAAGTAAATAGTAATTTCTTCAGAAGGGTCACGTGATCGCAAGGAACCAATATAAGTTGGAGTATTTGCATTATCGATACCACGTTACGAAATCACGTAGAGCCAAAGACATATATAAATCGCATTGCGTAACGAAGACCGCGTGTTAATTAGATTTATATAATGTGAAAACTGAATAACATACCACCAGTTCCTAAGACTTTCAAAAGATCGAAGTGCGTCATGTCCACTCTTTGCCCTCCCGTGTCTGCCAAATTTACTGCAACAGAAAAATGAAAAAGGTCAATAGTTGTCAAGGGGTCGGAACAAGCGTCGATTAATAATCTTCCACCTGGAATTTTATCGCAAAGAGTAGCTTGATACGTAGATTAGAGAACGTTTATAAATACGCTTTGAATTGGACGTGCGGAATGGAGGTTGACGTTATCGTTCCTTAACATTAGAACTACCAAAATAAATTAAAACTGATTTCAGGTGGCTCATCCTATACAAAAAAAAATCCATCGGTACTTCTAGCGTTAATCATAACTAGGAAAGTTAATTTTCTAAAACGCTTCTCCGGCAGGCCACTATAGTCCGATTCTACGAATTAAAATTCATAATTAGCGTCGAGGATATTTCAGTCCAGAGATAATAGAATGTTTATAAATGCGCATCGAATTGGATATGCGAAATGGAGATTGACGTTATCGTTCTTTAACAGTAGAACTACCAAAATAAATTAAAATTACTGATTTTAGATGGCCCATTCTATACAAAAAAAATCTTTCGGTACTTCTAATGTTACTCATAACTAGGAAAATGAATTTTCTAAAACACTTCTCCGGCAGGTCGATACATTCCGATTCTACGAATTAAAATCCATAATTATCGTCGAGGATATTTCAGTCCGGAGATAATAGAACGTTTATAAATGCGCTTCGAATTGGATATGCGAAATGGAGGTTGATATAGTTCCTTAACATTAGAACTACCAAAATAAATTAAAACTGATTTCAGGTGGCCCATCCTATACAAAAAAAAATCCTTCGGTACTTCTAATGTTAATCATAACTAGGAAAATTAATTTTCTAAAACGCTTCTCCGGCAGGTTGATACAGTCCGATTCTACGAATTAAAATCCATAATTACCGTCGAGGATATTTCAATCCGGAAGTAATAGAACGTTTGTAAATGCGCTTCGAATTGGATATGCGAAATGGAGATTGACGTTATCGTTCTTTAACAGTAGAACTACAAAAATTAGTTAAAATGATTGATTTCAGATGGTTTGTTCTATACAAAAAAAAAAATAAAAAAAATATCCATCGGTACTTCTAGTGTTAATCATAACTAGAAAAGTTAATTTTCTAAAATGCTTCTCCGGCAGGTCGATACAGTCCGGTTCTACGAATTAAAATCCATAATTATCGTCGAGGATATTTCAGTCTGGAGATAATAGACCTACCATTCCCCGAGCAATTCCAAAGGTAACCAAGGTCTGACTTTGGACTTCACTTAGTGACCCCAGTCTTCAAGGAAACAAAGCGAGCGTAAGTCTCCCTGGACGGAATATATGAGAAAATCAAGGTTCACGGCTGGAATTCCGTATTTCAAAACCGACACACATTTTCCTACGCTAACACTGCGGGGCATAAGACGTAAAGTGACATTAATAACCTCCTGTATGGTGAAGTCATAGAAAAGTGTTAAAGATACATGAATTTCACAATTTCTTCATGGATCTTTCGAGGTACCATGGCATCGAGCGTATCAGAAAAATAATTCACCGAGTTGGATTGCGTTCCCACTCCTGACTATATTTTTCTCTCGTTTCAGCAGAAATAATGGCCTCCTAATTGGCAGAAAATTGACCTACGTAATAACAGGCTGCCACGAGAACGAGGATTGCACGTCGAAAGCGCTATCTACGAATCAAAGTACGTTATCTAAATGCAACGATTTCAAGGAGAACTGTCCCCGTCGTTGCAATTCGCGCGTTTACCACTTTTTTTTATCACAAGGTTTCCATTCTTTTGACTCGCGATAGTTTCAACACGTGGTCGGAAGAATTAGACTAAATACTGGGAACGTTTCCAAAACACGCTCGGATGAGTTTTCCTATTTTATATTTTTAGGTTCTCTGTTTTCTCAGTGTTGTTTTGTCGAACCTTGTACAGGGTGACAAATGGGAACGTGTGAAAACGAAATGACCGTTTCCTCTCTCTAGATTGGGATGGAGATTTCCTTTCAAGGGCCACGTCCTCGGGACTTGGCGATTTTATTTTAGTTAGGATAGAGTGAAGCTCGTGTGCGTCATAGCCATTTAATTAACGATTGACTTTTCACGAGGTTTCATCAAAGATAGACGCCAAGCCGAGGTACCCGAATACACGGAAAGACTGAAAGCGGTTACTCAAAAAGTACTTCAAAGTATTTCCAATTCAGGGGAAGAACACGTTTTTCGGTTACAAAAAAAGATTTAACTATTGTATATCGATCGAAATGTGCCCATAATTATGAAAGTGGTCTAAGTCATATATTTTTTGTTTCGAAATTGCATTGAATTAATTTAGTTTGAAATAATATGGCGTGAAATAACTGATAAACTCATTTTTTTTTTTAATTTTGACTTAGACCACTTTCATAATTATGGGCACAAATATGAGAGCTCGACGGCATTTTGTTTCCGATCCGGGCTAAGTTATGAAATTATTCTCAAAAATCCAAATTTTGAAAGTATCAGGACAATTCTAAGACGATCACGAGTCACGTGTCAAAGTTTCGGACATTTCGATCCAATACCCATAAAGAAAAAAGTGTTTTATTCGAATCGACTGACTCGAGGGGGTGTTATATTCCCACATATTTCCTTTAATTCCTGAACCCGTTTAGAAACAACAGGCAATTACATTTTACTCGGCCCCAGTTGGCACCCTGTCCTATAGGTATAAATACCCACGTAAACCCGGATACTCCGAAATTCCCCCCCCACGTTCCGCTTTCCGCCTCCTTCTCGGAGCCCAGGAATTCCCGGCGGAAAGGAAGAACCGAAGCGTCATCCTTTCCACGTCCGAGTACGGGAGAGAGGACGTAAACGAAGGCGCCGATTTGTCACCGTTGGACGAAGCTCGGTCTCGTCCGAGCACGGCGGAGCCCCGGCAGCCGTGGAACGGTCTCGCGAGAGCGGCGCCATTACCGACACGCAACGAAGACCGGGAGTCCCGAGAGCGCGGTCCCTCGAGGAGATCGAAATTGTCAGAATAAAGAGAGGTGGGCCACGTGTCGACGTCGCCCCTCCACCGCGGCTCGGCCCTGTCCGCTGGTGAGAATCCGTGTCAAGGTGGTCGTAGCGCGGCCGTGATCGCACCGAGGTGTATAGGCGGCCGACACGAGCGACTTCGAGCCCGACAATCGACCCCGTTTTGTCGGCGTACTTCGCTTGCAGTTTCGCGGTATCCGCGCCGACTTATCAGGCGCGTCCGCTAAGGCGAAACGACCAGGCGCGGGAGGATGCGAGATCGAAATCGGGTTAATTCGGTAAGAGGGAGCCGGGACGGTCCGCGGATCGCGGCTGAAGCCGGGCTGCGGAAGTTCCGCTTTTGTCTGACCCAGATAGTCGGCATTCACTCGCTATTTCGTAACGGTACCGACTTTCTTTCGGCCGCGTCTCTTTCTCCGTCTCTCCGTCCACTTGGCCGCCTCGCTCGTTTCGAGTCAGCCGACGACATTCCTCGGTTTGGTCCTCCGCGAACCCACCGGGCCCCGGGCCTCGAGGGCTGCCCTTTAATTTACGGAAAGGCACCGATTAACCGGCACCGTTACCGTACGCGGTACCGTTCGCCAAGCCGCGGCCGCCATCTTGGAGAACCGTGCGCGCTCGCAGGAGCCGAGCTCCGGGTTTGTCCTTCGGGGGGGAATGGGGATATCGCTGGCAGAGGGTGTACCCTGGTCAAAATATTCCTCAAATTCGTACACCTTTACCACGTAAGGTTGCAGTAAAATTATAAATTTCATGCCTTAATACTGAATTAGTATACATTTATTAGGGAATTCTAAGTAACTTTACCGTTTTATAACACCGTATTGTAATTTTGTGAAATTGCGGAGAAAAATTATAAATTTCATACTCGATAGTAGTCACTTATTACGCATTGTTTGGGAATTCTTTAGATGAGTTTTTTATTTTATGATCGTTTACGTAAGTTTATTTTTAATGATATTTAATCGACAGATGACAAGTATCGGCTGAGAAGCATTGTAGCGACATTCTCGAGTCCGAGAAATATTTAAACAATGCAGAAAGATCTTTTTCGGCATTTAAGGTAGTCTCTAAAATCATCCTCGAACCTGCCCGAGCATATGTCAAATTTGTTTGTCCGCAGAAAAAACGTTTAATATCAATTCCTGATCAACAGAAATTTATATAACATATATTATAAATTTATTACACACGTGTACTAAATTTATAACATATGTTATGCGTTTTATTTGAAAATGTTATAAAATGAGCCATGTCTGAATAAAACTTCCAACAGAACTGTTATAAAATTATAATATTTTTTTAAACAGTGTACCCTCGGTGCGCACTCGTGTGGCCGTTTAACGAGACCGCCTACGGGATGCGGACGAGGCTTCCGGGTTGTTTTTACTTTCTCACCGGGTGCACGAGGAATGTGTCGCTATGGGAAAGTATAGGAGTCGTAAAACGCTCTACTTTGGTTTTTGCGCGGAAACGCGTTTTAAGCCTCATTGTTGGGTACCGATTGTGGGCAGGATACCATATTTTCAGTTTCAACGTGTCTGGACGTTTCATATCGAGAACGCGACAGCGAGGCTCTCGCGAATGTGTTTTGAAGCGCGACGTTCCGTAGATTGCGTCGATATCGAGTGCTTCTCCCTCTGACCGTCTGCTATTTAAATGAGAATAACGTATAACACCGGGACAGACGTAAGATAACGTCAGCGATGAATTTAAGCGTATTGAAATCCTACGTTAGGATGGAACGCGTCGCGGTCAAGTTTGAAACAATGTCGGGGCTATGCTTTCGGATTTCATCCTTCGGGGGCCAATGTCGTGACAAAATTGCTTTCAAATTATTTTCAGATTCTGCTCGAAGGGGAAACATTTCCGAGTGGAAATTTTGATTCTACTTAGGACCTCTAATTTTCGGTCTTAATTGGGTTTTGACGCGCTGTACTTTCATACGTTTGAGGTTCTACTTCGGACCTTAAAAGTGGCAGATATTTCCACTTCTTCTGTTTGTAGGCCTAAAGTGG